CCTCCTTCCTGATGACCCCATCTTGGCTTTAATGAAACTAGGGTTCCTTATTTACTCAAAAAACTTTCCTGTGAAGTTGTTCCCTCTCTCACCTAAGCCTCAGTAGGCACCATTAGCAACCTTCTGCTCCTGTGTGTCCAACTCTCTGATGTGCATCCCTCAGGACTCAGGCTGCAGCCTCCTGATGCTTCCAGAGATATTGACCTGAGTCCAGTCCTTCAGTCACCATGTCCACTTCTGGCCCCTTCCCTCCTACCCCTCTCCTGACTCCTGCCAGCCTATGTTTTCATAACCTTCTTCCTCTGCCTTCATCCATGATGAACCCTCTATAACAACTCGCCATCTTCCAGCTCATCAATAGGCCAATGAACACTTAGAGAAAACCACATCTCTGCCCTGGGACACATCAAGATCACAGCTGATCCTTGGTGCTAGATAGAGTCCCTTCCTTATCTCAACCTATGGTAGTAACATCCTTCTCCCCCCCCCACCACCAGATTCTAAACATTCAAGTCCTGTACTAAACGGACCTTCTTCATTTTATAGTACAGCTTCCCTTTAATTCACAGAGAAAATCAGGTGTAACATCCAATTCATGCATAAAATCTGAGTTCCTACCATTGGCCACAAATGTATCTACAAACATATTCACTAACAGTGCTGGCTCTACTCTACTTCTCTCAGCCCTTCCCAGCCAGCTCGTGCCAGGGCTGCTTCCCTCCCATGGCCCCCTTGCCAGCTCCCTGGACTCCCGGCATCTTGTAGGTTTGGCCAGTGGGGGCACCTACAGGAGGCCAGAGAGTGAGAAAAGAGAGGCAGAGGGTTTCTTCCCTGTTCCCTTCTCTGTCAGTCACCTTAGGCCTCCATGGCAGCTTCTCTTCCAGAATTCCAGCTGAAATTCCACCAGCTCTAGCATGACTCAGTTTCCTTCCTGTTCTTTTTTTTTTTTAAACAACACTGTATTTTATTTTATTTTATTTATTTATTTATTTACTTACTTACTTATTTTTGGTACCAGGGATTGAACTCAGGTCCTTCCAATTGTGCAGCAGGCAGCGAAACCACTGAGCTAAATCCCCAGCCCTCCTTCCTATTCTTTCAGCCATGATAGTAGTGATGGCTTCTGGCACTTACAAATCCTTAGTGTGTTCCCTTTCCTTTGGATCACCTTAACCCCATCTTTAAAGTGTCTTTTTCATGAAAGTGTCTGCATCTGGAAGGGGAAACTCCTGTCTCCTACCTAGACTCTGAGGATCTGCTTATCAATTCCTCCTCCCTCCCAAGGTCCAGAAGTTCTACCTTCTGCACAAGGGCAATAGCTCCGTCCATGTTCCTCAGTCTCTCTCTTCCCTCTACCTTAATCTCTCTCATTCTTTTGGCTTTCTTCCTCTAAACACTCTCGTACTCTTCCATCGCCTGTTTTGTATTCTCTGTTGTATTCCTATTACATATTATCTTATCTTTTATTTCATTTGATCTTCTGAAAAATACGATCTCATTCATTTTTTTCTCTCAAATTCAGTGTGACCATGCTCCTTGCTAAGGTTATCCAATGATGGATCATCACCAGGTACACAGAAAGGGTCTCTTAGGTATCTTATGCAATCTCTCTGAATTGGGGTGATTCATGGTGGTGAATGTGGCTTTGGAGTCAGATCACTCTGCCAGTTCCTAACCCAGTGTGATCCTGGCATAGTTTGAAACCCCTCTGATGCTTGGCCTCTTTGTGCAAAATGACATGTAAAGTATCTGTTTAAAATAGGCATTGCTGGCACACAGAGGCCTCCATCAAAGTGGTTACAGTGATCATCATTGCTTTTCTCTTGAAACTCATTCTTCCACAGTATCAATCAAACTATCCTCCAAATTCCAACCATTTTTTCCTAGTGCCCATCTAGAAAGTCCGGCAGAGCGTCACCTCCTACCCTGAATGCTCATCAGGATTGGATCTCTCCCTATGGAGGACCCCACTGCTCACATGCATTCCACACCTCACCTTTCCCTCTGATGGATAGGACTCAACTCAGCCTTGTCATCTAGGTCAGAAGTGTGGGCTGTGCTTTGTGCTCCTCTCAGTAGGAGATGCTTGGCTTCAAGTTGCCAGGGGGCAAGAAGCCACCATTATTAGCTCCCTCAGGGGGCTTGGAGGCAGGGTGCTTTCCTTTCTGTTGTCAAACTTAGTTCATTTTTTGTTGTAACACAATCCCCCAGAGTGAGTTATAAAGAAAAGAGGTTTATTTTTAGCTCACAGTTCTGGTCCAAAGTCAGGGGCCTACAGTTGGTGGTAACCTTGTTAGCAGAGTCCTAAAGTGGTGCAAGGTGGCAAGGTGTGTGTGTGTGTGTGTGTGTGTCCTGTGGTCTCTTTCATGCTTATAAATCTACCAGGATTCAATCATAGGGGCTCCACCCTGATGATCCTATCTAATCCAAAGATCCTACCTCTAGACACACAGCTAGATTAACTTTCCATCTTCTTAATACCTTACCTTGAGGATTAGATTCCAACTTATTTTTTCAGGGAGGATAAACCATACTCAAACCATAGCACAGACTGAACATTTCATTTAAGTTTATCATTACCCAACCTAGTGGTCTCCTCTTGCCTGCATCTCTAGGTTATCCAAGGTTGATAAACTAGATACTTGGGTTTTGAAGTTTGGGCCTAAAATAAGCATCCACACTCCCCAGTGCAATCAAAGGATTCTCCCGTGAGGGATTCTGAGTGCCTCTGGAGGGCTTGGGGGCTGCTGTAAATGTGGGCAGCCTTTGGGCTTCTTTGCTTTTCTCCTGTGTTCTGAAATGACCATATTCTAGCTAAGTGGCTTTATTGTATACTGTTGTGTTCTTGGAACTTTAATCACCTTCTTTGAGTATATATCTTTTCACACAAAGTAACTTATTCTGTTATTCATATTTTTAAATGTCCTATTTCCTTGCATTGACCCAATCATAATAAAAGAACTCAAAATCTCCTGTTGGCTAAAGGGTTAACTAATGGATCTTTGAGGTTTTTTTCCACCTTCCTTGGAGACTAATAATGTGCACAAGTGCCCTCTGCTTCTTTATCAAAAAGAATGAAGGGCAAAGAGGGAAAGGGAGGAGGTTCTGAATGTGTGTTCAATGTACATTCATAATAAAAGCCGAGCCGAATGGCACATTCATGGCTGCTCTTTGATGTAACTGAACATGTGAATGAAAGTTTGGGGCATAGCTCACCTCCAAGGGAGTGGTCCTGTTCACACTTAGACCTGACCCGTGGATCATGAATATCCCTGTAAAACTCTTTTTTCCTCTCTCCATAACAGCTGTCCTCTTCCTCCCAGCATCTTTGTAATCTAGCTGGGTGGATATCCCCCCCTTTTTCCCACACTGCCGTTGGAGATCAGATCCCGCCCTTGATTGAAATGGAATCTTCCACTATTGAGCGAGCCTTTGTTGAATGAGTCATCGGCGCGGCCGCTGATTGGCAGAGGCCGCTGGAGCCCAGGGGATTGCCTGGCACCGGCTGCAAGGCCCAGCTTCATTCACAGAAACACTGGCTCGCTCGCTAGCCCTTTCATTCACACAAACAGCATTTCATTCACATTTTGCGGTTTTTGTCTGCTTCTAATGATGATCAGGGTTTGGGAATGACAGGGCTATTTTGCTTCAGATTTGAGGGGCACTCTGATAGCCATCAAAGCCCTCCGTGGGGCCTGCATTTGCTGTTGCTATGCAAGAGAGGGGCAGAAAAAAAAATTGAGTGCCGGGTGGTTTTCTGCTAGGGTTGCGGCGCAGTAGGAGAGCCGAGAAGACGCGTTTTCTGCGCGGGGACAGCGCTGCCCTCTCGCTCCTGACCCTCTCCTGTGTCCTAGCAGCCGGCTCATCCGAGGGCCGCCACGGGCGGCGCTTCTTAAACCCTGCTGCACAGTGCTCCGTGCCAGACCCGGGACCTCAGATGCCACGCGTGTTCAGGCCTGGGCATGAGAAGACTCAGGGCGGCCTGGTAGTGTGTTAGAGGTGAATTCACTCCCTTGCATACAATTTGCCGGGGAAACTTTGGGAGTGTTGCACAGTGGGACAGGTTGTCTTTAACGAAAGAGGCCAAGTGGCAGAACCCATGGGGGAGGAGTGTCCCTGGATCTCAGCCTCGGACAGATCTTCCGGGGCCTGCCCATGGCCTGCTTTCCTGTCGGAGAGGAAGGCGGCCTGTGCAGTTCATTCCAAGCCCGCGCTTGACTCCCCAAGCAGGGCTCCCCCCCCACCCCGATTTGATGTGCTCCCAGAGCAGCTGCGATCTCCCCTCCCTGACCAGGGCTGAAGGCAGCAACTGAAGGGGCTTTGAAATGTACTGGTAGCCTTTTTTAGGCATTTTTCCAGAGCTTAAACACATTCAGTTAGAATAAAGCTCCAAATGCAGCTTTGGAATGGATTTCTGGAGCCTGTTGCCGCTTGTCAAAGAAGCACTCTTCCTTTTTGGAAATAGATTGTCTTCAGTTTAACCCTGGCTGAGAAAGACCGCAGCAGATTAGCAGGAAAGAGCCCACTGATCGGCCCTGTGCAGAAGTTCATACGCAGATTTTTTTTTTTTTTGAGGAACTGCATTGCCACAAAGACACTTGTCATGGCTGCTGTGTCAATTTGAAAAGAAAAAAGAAAAACCCAAAGAATTGGCATTTTATGTTCACCTCGGGGTAGTGGTGGTGGTAAATAGTCCTTTTTTTTTTCTGTTTAAAAATTCTTGCTGCTTTCCAAATCAGAATTCAGGAAGACTCGCTGAAGACTTATTCTTAAAAAGCCTTCGTCACATTTTAATGCCTCGCTGTCAGACACTTTTGGGGCTCACACAGATGAGCTGAGCAGGAAAGAGGAAAAATCTAACAGGGAGTCCTGGGGTCTCCGAAAGTTCATTTGATCATTGGAAGGAACTGGATTTACCTTTGGAACCAATGCAGAAGGGGGGGGTGGGTGGGAAAATGAAAAATCAAAGGTTGGAAGGAAAAAAATCTGGGAAGGTAAAAAAAGGAAATTTGAGAATTGATTGGCTCCAGTTGCTGTCAGCGGGTGGATGCCGTTTTTTTCCCCCTTTTTTTCCTTTTTTTTTTTTCCTACAGGAAGTGATTTGCAGTGCTCACCGAGCCTTTGTTGAGAGGGGCTCCTCGCAGAGTGAGTCATGCTTTCGCTGTGAGCAGCCCCGAGCAGCTGGGCTCTCTCTCCACCAGAGGCAACTATGACTTTTGCAAAGCAAACGCTCCACCCCAAGCAGCGGGCTCTGAGGCCGGGGCTGCGGGGCCGCTGCGGGGCTGGCTTTTGATAGTGGAGGGCCGGGTACTCAGACCCCGCTGTCCCTCTGCAGAAGGCTGTCCTGGGACCTCGGCTCTCGGTCTCACTCCGGGGCCCGTGGCTCGCCTGCTATGCGCGGCAGCCCGCGCCGGGGCCGGCACCAGCGGCGCCCCGGCGGATGCGGCGAGCCCACGGAGGGGCATGCTTCCACGCACCAAGTACAACCGCTTCAGGAATGACTCGGTGACCTCGGTCGATGACCTCCTGCACAGCTTGTCTGTGAGCGGCGGCGGCGGCGGCAAGGTCTCGGCGGCGCGCGCGACCCCCGCGGCGGCCCCCTACCTGGTGTCGGGAGAGGTGCTGCGCAAGGCCCCCGACGATGGGCCCGGCAGCCTGGGGCACCTGCTCCACAAGGTGTCCCACCTGAAACTCTCCAGCTCCGGCCTCCGCGGCCTGTCGTCCGCAGCCCGGGAGCGGGCGGGCGCGCGGCTCTCCGGCAGCTGCAGCGCGCCCAGCCTGGCTGCCCCAGACGGCAGCGCGCCCCCCGCGCCCCGCGCCCCGGCCAGCATGAGCGCGGTCAGGAAGGGCCGGCCAGGAGACGAGCCCCTGCCCAGGCCGCCCCGGGGGGCACCGCACGCCAGCGACCAGGTGCTGGGAGCTGGAGTCACCTATGTGGTCAAGGTGGGTACTAGCGCAGGCCGCCCCGGCGGGGGTCCTGAGTCCTGGGGCTGGGCCGGGGGACGGTGGTGCAGGTAGACCCTTCCCTGAAGTCCTGGGGCAAGGGTACCCGCGGCTGTCACGTTGGAGGCAAGGAGATGCGCACTCCTTAGCAATCAGCTGGCTTGGTAGTGGGTGAGCAGTGAACTACAAATGTGCCTTTCCGCATCCATGGGGAATAGGTTGAACAATCGCGCGACCTCGCTCTGTCCTGCTTTTCCCGGTCGCCACCCTTTTGGCATGCCTTTGCCACCTGGCTTCGCCAGATCTCCAGCCAGTGACCCTTCCGCCACCAGCGCCCAGCTGTGGGAGCTGGGGTCCAGCCTACCTTGTGTTTATGAAACACACTTGTTAGATTGGGCAGCCCCCTCCAGTGATGAGCTTGTCACTGCTACTACCCTGTCCTCCCCTGCCAGGGTGGGCTGGCCATTTCTTGGCCCCACAGCAAGAATCCCTAGCTCCTGGTAGGATAGGCCAAAGGATGTCTTGCTTTCTAAAAGATGAGTTCTACTTTTTCCTCACCCAGCAAGCTTTTCTTTGGCGTTTCTTCCATTTCCCACCAGATGCTATTGGTAACAGCAGAGAAAGGAGTATTTGGGACTATTTTCCCAGTGACTGCAGTCTTCCACTTAAATGGGCTCCAAGGACAAGAGAGTGCTGTGTCTGGAGCCTCAGGCTGGAGAGGAATTTTTCTTCTAACACAAAGAGTTTTAAAGTCACGATGTGGTTAATAAAATTCCTCCTTTATGCAAGAGTGTTATGATATTTAAGGAGGAAATACTCAACACAATTCAGTTAACCTGCCAAATACTTAGTTCCTCCTGGCTGTCAGGCTGCAGTCAGTTATAGCTTTTGCAGCTGGACAGACTTCCCCTAGTCAAGGTGGGGGGACCCAAGTGGCATTATCTCAGTCCTGCCACTCCAAGGCATGACTTTTTATGGAAAAAAAAAGGAGACACAAACACTACCCTTCCTGTGTTAATAACATTGAGAAACCTGCAGGGTGTCTGGTCCTGTAAATGCTGGCTGCAGATCCAGTTTGAAAATCCAGCAGAACACATCTTCAGGTAAAATGTAGTGTCTCTGCAATTTTGGAACCAGATTTTGAAAACAAAAACAAAAACAGATAACTTTGTGGGTTATCTTTAACTATATAAAAATACTTATAAATAATGTGAACATTGGTGTTAAAATAAGGCCTTTCCCCCTTCTGAGTCTGCATTTTAAGTTGACCCGTTTCTTACCTTCTGAATATGGATTATTATATTTTAACAAAAGGGACATAAGATACACAAGAAGCTTGAGTTTTATCTTAAAGGAAAATGGATAGTCTCACATTGCTTATTTTTCTTAATTATCTATCTAGGGGCGAAAATCAAAAAATAAAACCAAACAAAAGCCCCAACAACTTTGAGGTTCAATTGTGACACTAAACTATATTAATTATTTCTAGAGTGTTAGTATAATTGCTTTTTTTAAAAGCCTCCTTTAAAATACACAAATCGATCTTGGCAAAATTTTTTTTATGTATGTCACATGAAACACAGAGGGTAGTTTTCAAATTGAGGGACATTTCTCAAACTTATACCTTCAAAGTTTTCCTTAAAACTCAGGGCTTTGCTAAGGGCTTTGCTTTTCCTTCAGCATGAAGGCAGACATCCAATTCTAAAGGTCAAATGTGGCAAAATAATGATGATCATACTAAAACAAGTCTGTTCTGCTCGGCCGTTCTGTGGATACAAGGCTTTGTGAGTTACCCGGTGCTGGCAGAGGTATTCCAGGAGCCAGAGGGCTGGCTGATATGCATGGAGCCTGAGTCCTGGGGGCTGCAGAGACCCAGGGGCCATGGAGCAGGGCTGATTAGTGCATGTACTGGGGTTAGTTTTATCCCGTTCGTGGGCAGCTGTGAACAGTGGTGTCTGTGTACATAAACTCACGCACTGTCCCTGCTTTCCTGGGAATCATGCAGAAGGGAAATCAGATGCTAAATACAATTTCATTTCTCATGTGCACATTTGATTCAAATAATCACATGGCCTTATTTTATTTATTTATTTATTTATTTATT